AACAGAGAAGTTTAGGAAAGTTTCTTGCAACAGAGACTAATTAGACACCCAGGAATCTTGTTTTCTGCTCCTGGACACACAAGAACACTGCATTCCCTGGCCTCACTTGCAGTCGGTCTGAGCACATATGACTAAGTTTGGCCAGTAGAAATATAGAAGTGATGGGCTCCACTATTGGGCCTGGTCCTAAAACATCCCACATGGTCATCCAAGCGTTTGCTCCCTGTCTGCCCCAGGAAGAAGGACCCCAAAATGGCGGTGCCGCAGCATGGAAGGAGCCTGGATTCCTGAGTCACCATGGGGAACAGCCACCTGACCCCCATCAGAATGTGACATGAACAAGAAATAGGCTATGATTGTATCATGCCACCGAGATTTCAGGGCTTGTGTGCTGCTGCCGCACCGCTTGGCCTGCGCCAGGGATGTGACTGGGAAGACGACTGACTGAGTGGGAGGCCCAGGACCGCAGGGCAGCAGACCCCGGCTCTGTGCCTGCAGGCAGGGGAGCGAAGAGCAAATGGGCAGGGCTGGCAGCAACGAGAGGAAATATGTGGTTGAAAATCTCTTCTGGAAATTTTAAAGTTTTTTGGCAGATCCTGGCGTGATCTGATCAGAGCTGTTTTTATCTTGTAAGAGAGCTCGTAGCAGGAGAAGCAAATCTCTGGATTGAATATGAATAAGAAATACTATTTCTTATATATTAGATCCTAGAAATCAATGGAAGTGGAAGTTTTAACAACTTCTCCCCCACCTGGCGAATCCCCAGGATCAGCTCTGGGCGTGTGTGCCCGCCGTGGAGGGCCCTGCCGCGCAGAGTTAACAGACTGCTGAGGCCGTGTTCTGACGGCTGCTCATGCATCTGGAGCCCGTCTTGTACTTTGAGCTGCTCCAAGGAACGTGACTGGAAATTACTGGCTGCCTTGAAGGCATAGGCAGAGGAGAGTGTTGCTCCGTCTCTCTACTGTCCGGCCCAGTTTGGGATTGGGAGAAACTGAGTCAGACTTAAACCTACATCCCTGCACCTGGGATGTAAAGATGTTTAAACTACATGGCTTGGAGTGGGGCCAAGACCTTGACCCACACCCTCCTGGGGTTCAAACATGGTCAGAACCTAGAGCCGGGAACCTCTGGCCCACTGAGGGCCATTGTTACACAACAGGGGACTCTTACTCTTCACTGCCTGTTCCCACATCAGAATCTTTTCAGTTAACCAACACTTCAGTTCCTTGGAGAATCATTTCATACTAGGAATGATACCCCAGTGGAAGTTACACAAAAGCTAAGATTGCCATAAAACAGGCTTTCTTAAACTTTGCTTGTCTAGAAAAAATAAATTGCATATCCCAATTTTTCATAACTAGAGACTATGTAAATTAATTAGGCTTCTATTCATAGAGGCCTGGCTACAGTGCCCGAAAGACGTGAGGACTCATTCTTGCCCCGAGTGAGGTAGGCAGTTCACGGCTGGTGTGGCAGTTCCACAGAGGGGCTGAAGCTGCTGTCTGGCTCCTCCATCTACACCAGCTGTCACATTCACACCCCAGGCAGCAGCAAATAGGAAGTGGAAGGGGGCAGAACGGCCTCCTCCCTGATGCCTCAGCCCCGTAAGCAGCCCTTTTGGAAGTCGCACACACCTCTGCCATGGCTCACTGGCCAGTTCTGAAACAGGTGGCTACATCTAGCTGCAAGGGAAGCTGAGAAGTGCAGCTGTTTAGCCAGGTGCATTGCCCCGAGCAGAGCTGGAGACATTCCTGTCGAGGAAGGGGGGCTGGGGAGCAGGTGGTGGGCAGCAGCTCTGCCACCCAGGGTGACAGCCCATTAAAATGCTTTGTTGCCCCCATTTTGGTTTTCTTTTGCTGACCACAGCTTTTGGGGTCTTCAGACAATGAACTCATCTCCCTGGTAAATGAAGAGTAAGGAAGAATTAAATACCCAGCAAGAACACATTAGCCCTTATAAATTGATGATTCTTCTGCCTTACAGATTGCCTGCAAAATGTTCTAATAAGTGTGATTTTTAAATCAATTAATTAATAGATTTTATTAAATATAACCCAATGGGCAGAACACATATTCCTCTGCTTTAGATATCCACTGATAACAGCGTGATAATCCCATGAACCACTAACCCCATTACCCCGAAGCCATGATTTATGGTAGAAATATGCACTTGTCTATTTGAAAAATGAATTTGTTGATTTTTGAATGGAAACATCAATATTTTATATTTCTAAACTTGTTTTAACTCTCTTAATTTTTCCAGTACAGTGCAAATAGGTTTTATAATAGTCTTGTAGTTTCCTTTATTAGAAAAACACAGTGATCTGTACTGTTGAGCTAAATGACAATATTACAGGTCATAAAAAAGATTTAGTATTTGAACCTGTGCACTATTCAAGCTCCCAAAGTCATTCTTGGTGAGGATCAATTTCAATTTTACTCTCACTGCTTACATAATGGAGGTGGTGGGGGGCATCTTAGGCACTGGCTGGGGAGCACAGAGAGCTGTCTTCTGATTTGAGCAGTGCCATTTCCTGGAAGAAACTCCTAGATAAACTCTGTAGGTAACCAAAAGTCTACTTACTGTGGTGAGTTGTTAGATGAAGCCAGATAAATGTCAGGGGCCAGCTATCAGAAAGGAGCCTCCTTGTTTTGGTGTATTTGGTCCGATGCCACTTTTTGAGACAGTCGTTAAATAGCAGGAATGTCCCCAGCAGACTGTGATAATCCCCCACACACAAACACCCCAGGCATCCTGTACCACCTATCACTGCCAGGAAGTACTTTTCATATTTATTTGATAACTTGATTACTCTCTGCCTCCCTAAACAGCATGTAAGCTTCTTGAGGCCAGAGATTTTACCTTTCTCATCGTGATATATCCCAGCAACTGGCATAGCGCCTGCATACACAGTACTCCACACACATCTGCTGCGTGAATAAGCGCATGAGCATATTAGCATAGAAGAATGCTATTTTGATGGAATGTGTGGGTATCAAGGGTTTTCTTTCTGCTCATCCAATGTGAAGTTAGTAATTAAGACATAGATTTTAAATAACGATGACCAGAATATGGCTTGGTTTTATTCACTGGAAATTATCAGCTCTGCTAGGGCTTCCTACCAACCCGTGCATGTTTTCTGCAGGCATGGGAGTCCACTGACTCTCCAAAATCACTTGCAAAGTTGTGGCACAGTGGAGCTGAGAGCTGGGACCTGCCCCCCTTCCCCTGCATAGCCTCTGCTGGGTCCTGGCTGTGCATTTGTGCACACTCCGTGCACGGGGAGGGCAGGCCCTCCTGGGCTAAGTCCATGTGTCAAGCATGTGTTCTAAATTACATTCTGCTTTCCACAGTCCCAAGACCCCCTTTACCCAGCCTCGGTCTGCAGTCTTGATTCATGTTCTTATTAAAAAACGCTGTTGATAACCTTTTGCTATTTCTGCCTCAGTCTTTTAGGAAATGTGCAAAACAGGAAATCACATATCTTCAAAGCTCTGGAGCCAATGATGAAGATAAGCAATGATCTCTCATCTCATTCTTTCTCTTAATCAACTGAATTAATTTACATGCTCATTTTCATTTGGATATGGTGACTGGGAAGGCTTCAAGTATAAACCTACGTAACCTTGCTGAATGGCATGACATTTTGGATTTTTCAAAGAGAGGGAAAAATCTGCTTTGGCCTCCATCACGGCATCCATATTTTGTGCCCATTCTAACTTTTTCTCCTTTTCCCCTATCTTTGGACAATATCAGTGTCATTTCTCTTTGGTAAACTTTAAATCACCATTTAATTTCCAGTAGAAAAAATTATTTTAGTTATACCTAAAATAATTCCCAACCTCAAACACACTTGTCAAAAAGTCAAAATTATATGCAATAGAAAAGATTAGTCCAGAATACTTCCCATTCATTTTTCAGGGTTCCTAATATAATAATATTAGTGATTTTAATTTATCACAAACCCTCAGTTTGGGCTCACTGTTGGCAGGGTAGATGACCAAACCTGAAAATTCAACTTAAAGTTCTCATTTGGGATCCTATGTTATTTGGAGTAGTTGTCCACACTGGTCAAATCAGTCACGTAAATACGGTTCCGCTTAATCTCTCCAGAGGCAGAATTAGTCTTTAAGTTCAGGATCCTTGTCCCAGTCCCACATGTTTTTGTCTCTTTCTCTCTTAAGCTCCTTACTTTCTCATGTGTGAACTACCTTGTATGTTTCTAAGGCATAGGGGACAAGCGGGAAAGGGGGAACATAGAAATCTAGCCTAGCACAGCTATTTTCCTCCTACATTTGTGTCGCTATGATTGAGGGAAAAGAGACAGGAGAATTAAATTATTGTAAAGCTGTTTTTTTCCCCTAATCATTTAATTTTTCAGAAAGTACTGACCAATACTAAAAGGTATGTCCTTTCAAAATGTTTGTGTTTCAAACGGCTTCGTGATTACCTAATTCTAGGAGATACATATAGTTATCTAGAGCTACATGGGCTGTGTATACTCACCTGGAGCAACACGGGCTGTGCATGGTACCTGGAGTTGCCTGGGGTGTGTGGAGATGGTGTGGGATGTCCAGGGTGAGGAGTAGAAGAGCAGTCCTGGTGACTCAAAGCCTGCAGTAGACGTGCAGGGGGGAAGCATGGGGCAGAAATGTGCACAAACATGTTCACAGCTGAGTGGATGCAGCAGTACCCATGCCTGTAGCCATCTCAGTGGGGGGTCCTTCTGTGAACAAGCTTTGATTAATGATATTTTAATACTAATTTTGCTTTTTAGTACTCCCATGCCAAACAGCTCTCATAGAAGCAAGACCCTCCCCCGCCACACACACCAAAAAAAAATCAACGATTTTTATACATGACAGCTGGTCTCTTAAGGATCAGAAAGTTCAGGAGAGCCAGGTGTGTCAGGGATGCGCTGCAGCCAGGGCTGGAGATGCCCTGGCTCCCACATCGTCAGTGCTGGGAGAGACCTCTAGATGGTGCAGGTGAGTCTGCAGTGAGGGAAAGCCCCTCCGCAAGGACTAAGTTTCCAAACTTGCAGACAAGACAGGGAGAGTCAAGGAAGAGTTCCTGGGAAGCCCTTTAAAACAAGGGAAGTGGGGCTGGCGGCAGAGAGGTGTGCCTGGTCCCAGGCAGCCCTGCTGGCCTCTGGGGACGTGGAGCACCTGCTTCTGAGAGCACTGAGGGGTGGCCACCTGTGAAGCCTGGACACCCAAAACTGGACTGCCTGGCTTTCTTCATAGACCCATCTTCTGCTTGGACTAGAAGCTGACCTCCAACGAGAGCCAGGTAAGCCTTGGTTCGTTCCTTTTGGTTTTCAAACGTTCCAGCTGTGGCCGATACTGAAGTGTCATGGGCTAGGAAAGAGCCTGGGTGCATTTTTGAAATGCATGTCATTTTTGGGTTGCGTTTGAACAAGCTTTACCGATTGCTGTGTGTCTGCACTACCAGTTCTAATACCTGAGATTGTGCCTTTGTTTTCGGGAAAACATCGGAAACTCTGTTTTGCTATGGGTTGCACGTTTGGTTAGGGAGCCAAATTTTGTGTGCGTTTTGCAGGCTTTAAGATTTGGGCAACTAAATCAACGAGTGTCTCCAGAGAGTGTGGAAAGTGTGTTTCTCAGGTTTGTCCCCGAGCCTGGTTCACCAAGAAGGCTGGGACTCCAGCTGGGCTCTGTTCCTGCTCCCAGCCCGAGTACGCTCCAACCCTGAGAGACGTTCCAGGTGGGGTTTGGAATAAAGGCTGAGCCTCCTCCTTATGGCCCCTGTGTTGGGGGGAGGAGAAGGAGGGCGGGGTGGGTAGCTATTTGTGGTGGTGAAGGTTTCCATTCCTAGCCGAGAGATTTGTCTCCGTGCCCTGACAGACCGTGGGACAGTGTAGGCTCACGCACAGGAGCCGGTGCTGAGTCCCCAGCACTGAGTCCCCAGCACAGTAGCCGAGGTTCAAGATGTTCGGGCAGGGAGGAGGGGGTGGCTAGGCAGGGAGGACTGTAGGCAGGGAGGACCTCCCGGGGTCTCCCAGGAGTGACGTGATGTATGCTCAGGGAAGCCTCCTTCTGTCTTCTGTGGTCTGTCCCAGCCAGCCGGTGGGACACAGGCTATGAGATGAGTTGAATGGGGAGCGGGGAGGGAGCAACGGCAAAGGCGGGACAGCTCCTCCCCACTGCTCTGCTGCAGTGTTTTTGTTTGTTTGTTTTTTGTTTTTTATTCCAGGGTATTGTGAGGGTACAAACATTATGGTTACACCTTATGTCTTTGCCTCACCCAAGTGCGGTTTAAAGGCATGCCCTTCCCCCCCTACAGTGCTCCCCGTGTCCTTTAGTTGTGGATTTACCCCCCATCCCCCTAATCCCTAGAGAGTGTTACTTCCATGTGATCACCCTAGTGTTGATCAGTTAGTACCAATTTGGTGGCGAGTACAAGTGGAGCCCGTTCTTCTGCTCTTGTGGTGCCTCACTTTGGATAATGGGCTTAAGCTTAATCCAGGAAAGTATAAGAGGTGCTAGATCACTGTCGTTTATTATGATTGAGTAATATTCCATTGTATACATATACCAAATTTTAATAATCCACTCATGGATTGATGGGCACTTGGGTTGTTTCCACATCCTTGCAGTAGTGAATTGTGCTGCAGTGTTTTGGAGACACTTTATAACCAAGAACGAAGCTGTCACTGACTCAAACTATCAAAGAGGTGAAAAGCTGTGATGGGCTGGAGGAGAAAAGGATCCAAGTATCTAAAATAGAGTATTTCCAGCCTGGTTCAATGCTCTGAGATTTCTGAGTCATAGCCACTTAAAACCTTTAAGGATGCATTTTGACAGAAGGCGCCAGAGAGTGAATCCTCAAGGTTGGGAAATTAGCATCTGTCTCAATGATTGCCTGGGGGAGCCCTTCACGGCTGGGGGAGCCTGGGGCCCTGGCAATGATCAGTGGGGTCTCTGCTGCAGCCCTCTGCACCCCTAAATGAGCCCGGCTGTGCTGGGGGGTCATTTGTTGGGGGTGATCGTGGATGGACCTGTCTTTTGGAGGAGAAATTTCCCTGAAATATTTGATTTTCACTCTCTGGACACTACCTGGTTTCTTTCTTTTGTGAACTGGACTTTCACTTTGTTGAGGATACCTATTTGCAAATTGCAGAAGTGTCAGGGGCTTGCCCTTCTCTCTTACACGTCAATCTGTCCTCGTGCCTAGCACAGGCGCTGCCATTAGCGAGTGAGGACAGGCCTGGTCTCACCCCCGTTCCACAGGGTGCGAAACAACCGTGAGCGTCTTCTAATCTGAGGTCTGCAGGTCCCGTAGGACCAAGCCAGGTTACTGGACTTTCCTTTCTGGGTCCAGGTGAGTGAGTTTTGTGGTTTCCACAGACTGGAATTTATTCTCAAGGAAATGCCCAGGAACCCAGCTTCAAAGACTCAAGCAAATCTGAAGTTCAAATACAGGAGTGTAAACAGGATGGCATGTTGGCAGCCAGCCTCGCTGCTGAAGTGGCTCAGCCCCTCAGCTGGGCTCAGTGCCCCTCACCCTCCGCCTGGCCTGCCCCACAGCTGCCTCAGTTAGCCCAGACGACACCTGCCTCCTTTGATGCTGTTTGAAGGCTCTGCCTAGGTAATTCCACCCACCAATAGCATCATTAATTAACTCACATTAAGCTCACTTAGCACATTAGCTCAATTAGGGAACAAAAGCCTCAGCCAGCCCCTGCCTCTGAGGGTGCCACCTCCCTTACCTCCGTCCTCAACTCCCATCCTGTCCTTCTGGAATTTGCATATTGTAGGCAGGACTTTTATTTAGTCCCCAAGATTACTATTTTCCAAAATATTAGACAAGGAGAGAGAAACTGATATCTGGTCATTTACCCCCTACCATACATTTCTGTAGCACTTGTGAGCACTTTCATGCCTGTCTTCCCTAGATTTCCAATAAGGAAATCGGGGCTCAGAGAGGTTCTCTGACTTGGCTGAGGCCACATAGCTGGTGATGATTATGGTGACACTCCTGACTGCATGGGCTGAGCCTGCCACGTGTAATTGGAGGAGCTGGGACTAGAAACTGCATCCCCTGCCTCTGACATGCCACGCTTAACCCCTGTGAGGAGACCGGTGCACTGACAGCTGCGAGGTAGACATGGAGTGAGCGGACAGGCCCCTGCGTGCACCTCAGCTTCCCAGGTCACGTCGGCCCTAGGCCCACACTCACTCACTTCCTGTCCTCATCAGAGGAGGGGGCAAGAGGAAATAATCTTAAATTTTGTTCTTTGTGAACCATCCTGATACAGGTTTAGTAATAGAAGAAATAGCGGAGTGTTTTCAGATTTTATGAAGCAGAATGTAGGCAATTTCAGGTGGTTAAATCTGAGTCTAGGAACTAAGAGAAACTTTCAAAATGGCTTTTGGGGCCCAGGCATCCCAACAAGCCATTGGCCCTTGTTCGTACCCACAAATGAGACTCAACTGTGTTTAATTGTTCATCATTGTCCTGAGGGAGTCAGAGCATTACCCACGGCTAGTTAACCCTGAACAACCAAAGCTAAGGAAAAAGCTTTGACCTTGGTCTTGGCAGGGGTGGGCCATTCATTAGGTCGTGTATTAAGAGGGTGTCTGCAGTCATAGCATTGCTCCTAGCACATTGTGGGGACTCCATGAAAATACATCCGATGGATGAATGGGATCTTCCATCCTTCACATCTGAGAGAGGGCACCAATTATCCTAATCACGCAGTGGGAGACAAGTGGCTACTGGAACATCAAAGGACCCTCAGTCAACAAGCAAACAAATCCCAGTTGGCAAAGCTACCCTTGCTGGGGGCAGAGACATCTGTTATTTCTCAAAGGCCAGGTGCCCAAGGGTGTCAAACACCCTTTTAGCCCCCAGGGCAGAACGGACACCCTGTTTCTCGTGCTGGGGAAGCAGGAGGCCTTGTCCTCTCTGCCCAGATCCTCCTGCCCAGGCACCTCTGGAACTGCCCATCGTTCGTACACGTACTGACACATGTAAATACCAGGAGGCCTTGTTTCCCACCTCCGACACATCAGAGGACTGGGGAGGAAGGATGGGTGGCGAGAGCCTGGCCTAGGAGATGCACCTGCGCTGACTGGCCGCACCACCCGGCAGGCTCACGCCAGCTCTGCCACTCCGCAAGCAGTCAGACGGCTCCACGCACGGTGGGAGGGCGCCTCCCCCGCTGGTCATGCTGAAATCAGAGTCAGAGCAGTGGCGCCCACAATCACGTTGTTGTTACTGCTATAGTGGCCGTGTGGCCTCTGCAGCATGAAAGCCAAGCTTAACTGTGGTATTTCTAGATCCCTGAAGATCGAAACTGTTAACTGATACTATTCAATGGCTAGATACAAGCAGCTAAAGGTGTGCCCAAATACTGAAATAAGATGCAGTATTCGTCTCTTGAAAATAAGAGAGAGATGGTTCTGCCGACAACACTTTAATCCTGACATAAAGCGCTTTCTTAGGATAGAAGAAAGATGTGCGAAACCACACTGCAAATGAAAAACGAGAGAGCACCATTTTGACAACTCTCTGACCATTAACAAATTTTTTTTAAAACTTCATTTGCCACATTTCCAATTCCATATTTGCATGGGGTCCTGCATGCATGGGAGAGGTAAGAAGCGAGGATTTCAAGTTGGTTTTAATACACATCTGCTCATTTGGCAAATCTTTTCTGAGCATCTGCTACGTGCGAGGCACCACGCTGGGATGTAGGGACACAGTGGTGCGGTGGATAATAAGAGAAAGCAGCCCTGCACTCACAGAGCCTAGATTCTACTGCGGGGAGAGAAACCATAATCTATAGATATGCACGTGAGTTCAGATAAATCCCGTACCATGAGAAACAAGTCAGAAGGGCAGGCAGAGAAGGTGCCGGGTGGGAGTGGGGACTTCTTGGGAAATGATTCTTGAGCAGAGATCTAGACGAAGTGAGGGAGTGAACCCAAGAGCAGAAGCACTGGGGTGGGGTGAGCTGGAGATGTCCCTGCACCAGCAGGAAGGAGGGAAGAACAAGAGACGAGAGGAGACGTAGCAGCCAGTGTTCCATGGTGAGGAAGGGCTTTCGCTGAGGGTGGTGGGAGGGCAAATAAAATGATACATCAAGTCAGGGCCGAAGTTCAAACAGGATTGTTCATGCACAGTGTCGTTCTGGGACAGTTGGTGCCCACACCACACCACGAAGGCTGTGTATCAGCCCTCGAGGAGCCGGATCCCCGGGTAGCCTCTTCCTGAGAGGGCTGGTTTGGCAGCTGTGCAGGGCAGAAAGGGCAGCGGGAGCAGGT